TCCAAAGCTAACACATCTGTCCAAGCCCCTCAACTACCGCCACCCATAGAATCCCACCCCAACACGTTCTTTCTCCTCCATTGCAACCAAAACCAGCCACCATTCCTCATCCAATGGTTACCCGATCAAAAACAAATAGCCTGCAACCCAAGACTTTTCTTGCCAAAACCAACCTCTCACCACCAATCCCCCGCTCCTACCATCAAGCACAACTATACCCCCATCGGAAAGAAGTGATGAAAGTAGAATATGATGCTCTAATCAGAAAGCAAATGTGGGATTTCGTTCCCAGTGATACCTATCAGAATGTTGTAGATTGTAAGTGGTTGTTTAGAGTTAAACATAACCCAGATGGAAGCATTGACGGGTATAAGGCTTGCCTAATAGCCAAGGTTTCACGCAAAGGCCTGGGTTGGATTATCATTCTACATTCAGCCCCGTTGTCAAGCCCGCAACAGTCCGTTTGGTCCTTGCAATTGCTGCCCAATGCTCATGACCTATTCATCAGTTGTATGTCAATAATGCCTTTTTACATGGCAGACTTGAAGAAGAAGTGTACATGAAACAACCTTCTAGTTTCGAAGGTCCTCTGAACATTCAACATATGTTTGCAAGCTCAAAAAGCAATATACGGACTTAAGTAGGCTCCTAGGGCGTCTTACACCGAGCTCACCATTTATTTTGACAAGTATTAGGTTTGTTAAATCCAAATCTGACTTATCTTTGTTTATCCTTCACATTGTAGAGGTTACTATCTACATTCTCATATATGTTGATGACATAATTATTACGGGTAATATTGGAGGAAGTGTCAGGTCCATCATTGATACTCTTTCTCAATGATTCTCTCTAAAAGATCTTGAGCTCTTGCATTATTTTTTGGGTGTTGAAGTAATATCAACGTCAACTGCCATATATTTGTCTCAACACAAATATGTCATGGATATTCTGGACGAATTGCACATGGCTGAATGCAAGGGTGTCCCAATACCGATGACATCAACTTGCTCCTTCGTTGGTTCTGAAGCCGATTCTGCTGTTGACATTTCATTTTGCAGAAGAATCATTGGTAAGCTTCATTGCATATCCTTCACTAGGCTTGACATCGGGTTTGCTGTTAGCAAGTTGTCTCATTCTATGCATTATCCAAAAGTGTCTCACTGGAAAGCTATCAAACATTTGTTGCGCTACATGAAACACACCAGCACAATGGGAGTTAAGCTATGTCGACAACCAACAGATCGTTTACTTGCTTATTCTTACTCTGATTGGGCTAGAAACCCACAAGACAGAACATCAACAACAAGTTATGTTCTACCTTGGGAACTCACCAATATATTATTCCTCCAAAAAGCAAAGGCATGTTTCACGCTCATCCACGGAAGTTGAATACCGAGCTGTTGCTGCTGTTGTTTCTGAAGTTAATTGGCTCACGAATTTTCTCCATGAGCTTCATTTCCCATTGTCTGCTCCACCAACAGTCCTCTATGACAATGCTAGTACTACCTACATTTGTGCTAATCCAGTTTTTCACAATAGGATGAAACATGTAGCTATTGACTTCCATTTTGTTCGCGAGCAAGTTCAACAAAAAGCACTTGAGGTTCGTCACCTTCACTCTGCTGATCAAGTTGCTGCATCCTCACAAAGCCTCTTCCGCGTACCACTTTTCTGCTCAATTTTCACAAGTTGGGGCTTGTTCCAGTCACCCCCAACTTGCAGGGGGTGTTTTATAAGATAACAATTGATATCCTTTAGTATAGGAGTTTGTTATTATTTTTTTTTTATTAAACCAAACACCCAGGTTTTCATCCCCTGTGGTGCTGGGGGGTTTGGCATTGACCCCTACCTTGTTTATTCATTAAGCAAAATAGTACAAAGGAGGGGGACATAAACCAAAACCTCGGAGGAACTAAAATCTAAAATTGTTGATGGCTAGGCCTAAGATATTATAAAGAGCTACTTTGACAAGATTCAGTTCAGATTAGCAGTAGCTCTTTCTTAACAATTAAGGTGGTTTAAAGAACCATCCTGCATGTTTCCTTGGCCTAATTCTGAAATTTGGGACCTGTTGCCTATCCATACGGATGGCTTTCCTGGCTTGAATAGGAAGATCATTTTCGTTGAGGAAGATGGCCTGTTGCGTGATAGTAGTAGCATGCTTGGCTAGAGCATCGGCCACTTCGTTCCCTTCCCTATAACAATGTTTAATCTTGATGTTATGTTGTTGCACCTTCTGTTGGATCCGAGTGACATCTTCTTTGAGTCTCCAAGGTGTGCTGTAAGTTCCTAGAATCATGTTGACAACTAGAAGAGAGTCTAGGTATACAATTAAATCTTGGCAGTTATGTTCACAACACCAGAGGATACCAAACAGGGCTGCTTGCACTTCCGAGTAATTGTTAGTCATGAAATGGACTGGTGATGAGAAGGCCATTACCATACTGCCATTTCTTTTCCTAACAACACCTCCTGCTCCTGCTTTGCCTGAATTTGCTATGAAACTTCCATCAGTGTTGATTTTCCATTGATTAGCATCTGGGGGTTCCCAGAGGACCATCACACTTTTCAATCTTGTTTTGTATTCCTCCGCCACCCTACAAACAGTGCCCCACGTCCAGTTCCAGTCCATCTGACTGTACTTATGGCCCATGGAGACTTTAACCTGAAAAAGGACCTGTTGGCAAATTCTATGAATAGAAATATTCTTCTTACCATATTTCTTACCGCACCTGGCCTTCCATAACTCCCAGCATATGATGGTTGGGGTGATTTGAAGTAGGAACTTGTGGACATTGTTTTTAGGATGTGTGTTCCACCATTGGATTAATATGCTTGGGATGTTTCTGCCCGTCGTCTGGAATCCTAATGGGGTAGACATAGAATTCCATACCCTCCTTGCTGTACTGCTATTTGCAAAAACATGGTTTATAGATTCTTCTTCTGGAACCCTGCAACAACAACATCTAGAGATTATATTAGTACCAAATTTTAGAACAATATCATCAAGAGGAAGTCTGCCTTTCAAATTCTCCATACTATGAAGGAGATTTTAAACGGTATGTGCTTGTTCCAGTTTTTGGATAGGAGCGGGGATTTCTCTTTTCTTTTCCTGAGAAGCTGGTAAGCAGATGAACAGGAGAATGTTCCTTGGGGATTGGGGGTCCACACGGCTTGATCCTGCAAATGATTCTGCCCGATGTTGATGCGTTTAACCTCATTAACAACTTCCTGAGGAATAGTGTCCTGTAGGAGCTCGATGTTCCATCCGTGGTAGTTGAGGAAAGTACTGATATTAGTGTTTCCTGGTTTTGATGGGGGATTGACCATTGTTTTGATGGTACCTGAGGGTAACCATCTATCCCACCAAAATAGACTATTTTCCTTGTTGATTTTCCATTGAATGTTGAGATCCACTTTGTTTCTAGCTCCCAATAGACTCCTCCAAGAGTTAGAATCCTTGGGGTCTAGCTTTTTGGAGATTGGGTTGGATCTTTGGCAGTACTTAGCTCGAAGGAATCGAGTCCATAAATTGTTTTCTACCCTGAATCTCCACCACCTTTTTGCTGCAAATGAGTTGCAAATGTCTTGGAGCTTTTTGAAGCCAACTCCTCCCTCTTCAGTTGGATAACTCATGTTTTCCCAGGAACACCAATGATAGCTTTTCTTACCTTCTTTTTCCCCCCAAAAGAAGTTTGCCAAGTACATTTCAATCTGCTTGATAATGGCCTTAGGAGGTTCCATGGCTGCAAGTAGATATAAAGTTTGGGATTGCAGAATGTGTTTGATGATAATAGCTTTACCACCAGATGATAGGAGTTTCCCTTGCCAACCTCCCGCCTTGTTTTGAACTTTTGTGGCTAGGTCAGCGAAGTAGCATATCTTCTTTCTACCTATATATGTGGGGCATCCGAGGTATGTGAATGGGAATTGCATATGCTTGAAGCCTGTCCATTTCCGGATTCTTCTGATGATTCTTTTGTTGTGCCTGCTGTCCCAACGGGTGTACTTTAGGAAAAAACTTTTGTCTTTGTTGATCTCTTGTACAGATGCATCCCGGTAGTCCTCTAGGATTTCCATTAGCAGCTTCACTGATTTCCTGTCACCAGAAGAAAAAAGAATTAGATCATCCGCATAGCTTAGGTGATTTATCTTGGGCCCTTTGGGATTCATAGAGAAACCAATAAACTGGTTGTTCTCATTGAGTCTGTTAAGGGCCCTAGATAATGCCTCAGCAGCTAGAATAAATAGGGAGGGTGAAAGAGGGTCTCCCTGTTTCAATCCTCTTGTTGACTTGAAGAAGCCATGTCTTGTGCCATTGATTAAAATGGAATACCAATTCTCAGAAATCAGCCTGTGAATGGAGTCAATGATGATTTCGGAGAAATTCATTTTCCTTAGCACAGCTGTGAGGAAACTCCAAGATAGCTTGTCGTAGGCTTTGGAGATGTCAAGCTTAATGACTATGTTTCCTCCTTTGTTAGTCTTCTTGATCCCATGTACCAGCTCCTGGGCAAGAAGGATGTTTTCAGTTATTAGTCTACCTTTAACAAAACCAGACTGATTATCAGAAATTAAGTTAGGAAGGATGTTAGCAATCCTAGCACTGATAATTTTAGAGATGATCTTGTTGGAAACATTACACAGGCTAATAGGCCTTAGTTGTGATAGGGATGAGGGGGAGGTTACTTTAGGGATAAGAACTAGGTTCGTGTGGGTGTAGAATCTAGATAGGTTATATCCATTAAAGAAATTTTGAACAAACTTGCAAACCTCCCTTTTGATAATGTCCCATGATGCTTGGTAGAAGTGGCCATTGAAACCATCCGGGCCTGCAGAGCTGTTGAGATCAATTGAGAAGACTGCTTTTTTGATCTCTTCTTCTTCAGGGATCTGATTCAGGTAGTGGTTGTCTTCCTCTGTGATCATAGGGTCAATGCAATCCAGTATAGACAGGTTATTATCACTATGCTTATGGGTGAATAAGTTGCTGAAGTGATCTATTGCAGCTTTTGCAATAGCTTCATTGCCCTCCATCCATACTCCTTGGTCATCCTTAATTCTGTAGATGTGTGCTCTCCTCCTTTCTCCTTAATCACACTATGGAAATATTTGGAGTTGGAGTCACCTTCTTCAGCCCATTTAATTCTGGCTTTCTGCTTGAGGATAGATTCTTGCATCTTAAGCCATCTGGTGTATTCAGCTTGAGCCTTATAGAGATTTTGCCTATTGACATCATTATTATTAGCCTCATATTCATGCTCTAATCTACACATCTCCAGTTCTGATAGTTTGACTGAGGTGAAGACATCTCCAATAGACTCTTTGGACCAATTGCTAAGGCATCTGGCTACAGCTTTCAGTTTTTGTTGTAGAATCCATTGATCGTTACCCTGTACCTCCTTGTTCCAGGTGTTTTCAACCAAGGAGTTGTAGTCACTCTGCTTAGTCCAGAAATTAAGGAACCTGAAGTATTTGATAGCTTCATGGTTCTCATTTCCAAATTTAAAGGTGATGAGACTATGATCCGACCCTGATTTAGCATGGTGGTCAACTCTGTTGATTTGGAATTTTCCTGCCCAATCCTCGTTTATAAGAACCCTGTCCAGTCTAGTGCTAATTCTTCTTCTACCCCTGCTACCATTGCACCATGTGAAGGGATTCCCTGTGTAGCCAAGGTCAGTCATTCCACAGTCATCCATGCAGCTAATGAAGTCTGCGCTCTTGCTAAGAACATGAGGAGTTCCACCCTTCTTTTCCTCTGGGGCCATAATGATGTTGAAGTCGCCAAGGATTGACCATGGTCCATTAACTCTGTTGCTCATGTTTCTCAGCTTGTTCCATAGTTTCCTTCTTTTTACTGCACTGTTCCTTGCATAGACTGCTGTGATCCAGTAGGTATAATCATCTTCCTTGATCTTGAAGGTGATCTGTTGTCTGCTATTGTCGATGGTTTCACATTCCAGGCCATTGTTCCAAAAGCACCACAATTTGCTACAGTTATTGGAGATAGCATGTCAAAGCCTAGATATCTTCTGTATTCTTCCAACTTATCAGAGGAGAGAAAAGGTTCTTGAAGGATGACCATACTAGCTTTATGAATTCTGATTAGTTTAGCTAATCTTTCACTAGCACCTTTGGAGATCATACCCCTAATATTCCAGTTGATGATGTTAATCATTAGGAAAGGTTGGGGGTTTGTATGTTTCCTTGTTGTTGGAAGGTACTGGAGTTTTTTATTTGACCTCCTTTACCTTTGTGATTTCTTCTTTTGTTTCCCCTTGGCGATAGCCCTTGTTTTTGTATAACTTCCTCAGTTTCTTTTGCCACAGGATCATCAAATTGTTTTGGAGAGGGAGCAAAGGCTTCAAGTAAGCTGTCTGCTACTTGTTCATCTTCATCATCCTCACTTTCACCTCTAGAGTTTTCAGTTATCTCATCATCTGTGGAGGCCTCTTGAGAGTGGTTGCTGTCCATGTCCTCTCCTGATTCATAGATTGAGTTGTTGTCTATGTCCGGACCATGTTTGTTGTTCAGCTCCCCTTGAAGATGCTCAAGAGTCCCCATGTCAATAGTGATTTTTCCTCCTTTACTTTGAATGCAAGCTGTGTCTGCAGTAAAAGGAGACATAATCTGGTTGTTTGAATTAGCACTACTACTTTCCTGTTCTTTAGTTTTTCCTTCCTGTTGAGACTGTATTTCTTTTCCTTTGTCTGTTGTAACTTCTTTAGGTCTGCTCATAGTTTGTATTTTCCCTTCCTTTTGGACTGCCTCTATGATCTTGTCCTCTATTTGCCGTGATTTCTGTTTGACCCAAAGTCTGTTTTTAACTTTCAGACTTTGTGTATTCACCTTGTTAGTCTTCTTCTTTTTGTGCCTGCCACTATTTATGTTTGGGTTGATTTCTCTCGCTTGAATGGTTGTGTCATTTTGCTTTCCTTCCACATTGTCTTTGATAGGTTTGATCGCTTGAGTGTTGCTGTTTTGGAAGGTTGTCTAATCTTGTTTAGGTTTTGCTTGGTTCATTGTGTTTTGTTGGGCTTTGTCATTGTTGGTGTTGGAGTTTCCTGCCTGAAAGGTCTTCTTTTTCCTGTTCCTTTTGTTTCTCACCTGAATGAAACCATCATCTTTTTGGTTCTCAATGTGTGTCTGTGCCCCATCAGTGTTTGCTTTCAATTCTGCTTCCCCAGGTATGTTAGCCTTTGGTTGCTCCTCTCTTATCTCTGTTTTTTCATTATCCCTGTTGGTTTTAGCTTGCTCTTTCTTCCTGGCCTCAACCTTACACCTTTCCACATCATGTCCTTCCAATTTGCAAGTTCTACAGAAGGCTGGTACACCTTCATACTCTAATTTTTGATCTCTGCCCTTCAGCCCTGTTGTATCGCCTTCAATGCCTACAAAAACAGCATCTGGGAGAGACTTCATTAAGTCTACTTCAACCCTGACCTTTGCCATGTGAGGTCTGGTTCGGGAGACAGTAGCAATGTCCTCTTTCATAGGTGTGCCAATTTGTTCCAAAACTTGCCGCAAGTAATCCCATTTGAACATATGAAAGGGCAGTTCTGGTAGTAACACCCAGATGGGGGCCAAGGAGGTCTCCTCATTAGGATCGAAATCAGGGGACCATTTGAACATCCGCATTAGAGCCCCAGATATACTCATAAATCGTTGAAAGTAGGCAGTATTGAAGTCTGCTTCAGTGTTAAATTCAATGAAGACATGTCTATAATCATAAGCCCCAATTCTTACCTTTCCTTTCAAAGGGATTTGTTCAATGAATTTTGCCCTAATTGTTTCAATTTTGGGTCTCCCCATTGTGAATTTACCCACCAGCGTCCATTTGCAATTTTCCGCCATTACCCCATAGTAGTCGGACGCTTTGAAGATGACCGCTGGTCTGCCATTGTGAGTTGTTTGCCTTGCTACCACAGTGTTGATGTTGATTGCGTTGCCGGTGCTTGAGGTTCCAGCAACAGCGTTGGAGTAAGATGATTTAGATTCCGGTGGTAAGGCCACCGTTGGTCTTGACTCTTCAGGTCGGGTCTTTTGGTTGAGTGATACGCGCCGGTTGACCGGCCGGGAGTGAAGCCAT